TTTTATAGTCTTCTAACTCCTAGAAGATGGCAAGGTAAAGGAAGTGGGCATGACATTCTCAATCAAATTAAAACTACTAATTTGGGCTCCCAGATGTGAAATTATAATGGGTAAAGTCTTCTGCATTAATCCTTTTAAAAACATGTATATAATTATTTGTGGAATAGAAATAGCTTGTTGATAGCAAAGGACGGAAGGTCCCACCTTCTGCCTCATAATAGCCATGCATGATTATCAGCTTTCTTCACATACTTGTAAAATGATATTGGACATGTCTACTGCACAGGTATGTTGTGGAACTCAAATAAGATTCCCTAGAAGAAGCTTAAAAAAGGAAATGTCTACAGAAAGATTCTTAAAAAGGATATTCTCTTGACCAGCAGCTAAAACTATCTCCAGAATATCAAATCAACTAATTTAGCCAAAATTTTGTAAAATTGACTAAGGCCTAGTTTTACTTTACACACATACCGTCCCCCCCCCCCGCCCACACACACACAACATTCACACATATATGCACCTATATATATATAAATGTATAAAACCAAACTGGCCACCTTTACTTAAAAGTAATAAATCTAAAATTTTTAGGCCATTTAAGGGATATTAGACAATACTTAATTCACCTGTCTTCTTTTACAGATGAGAAAACAGTTATGTATTTAAGCGACATATTATCAAAGGAGGTGAAATTTGGAATTAGAGAGTAGAAAACACTCCTCTTTTTAGGTAAAATGTGTATATATAATATAATATGATATGCATGATATATATGCATGGATGTGTGTATACATATGTGTATATATATGTGTGTGTGTATATATATCCTAAACAGAAGGTATTACTATTTAATTAGGGGGCTACCAGGAAAACCATATCTAAAAAGGCTCCCCTAATGGAGTGGTAATGAAAACACACTAAGCCAAACCTATATGAGGGTCCAAATATCCTAATTAAATATGGTGCCCATTCCAGTATCCTACAGCAATCATAAACTTTCTATACCTTGAAATTATACAACTCTGCATACATAACCAATTGTCCTTAAGAACAACAGAATGCTGTCATGAGGTCATTCTAGCTATTTATGATTTTAAATTGATGTCAATAGGTGCTATTATTCTGGAAATAATGTGTAGAAGTTAAAAAGAAAACTCGACTTGAAACATGTTTATTCTTGAATGGATTAGGCTCACCTGGCTTCAGGCCGGGGCGGGGCAGGGGTGACAAAGACTGGGATGTGAGTGGCAGATTTAGGGATTGAAGGGCTTATGACTTGAGCAACAGAGAACGGTCAGACTAAAGTGATTCATTAGCTTAAACTGCTTTTCACCTTACAGCATACAATTTCAAACAAATTCTTAACATAAGAATCAAAAGATCCAATGAAGAGAAACAAATCCCATCATATAATCTTACCGAGGTGCTTATAGAAATATTTTACTATATTTTCTAATACAGAGATGAAATTAATGATAGAATCACAGAATTCCAGAGTTGGAAAGAATTTGATATTAGTCAAACCTCTTGTTACATACATGAAAAAACTGGGGCCTAAGAATTACAATATTAAAATTGTGACCTAGAGTTTTCTTTTAAAATTCAATTGCACATAGATATATCAGGGATGTAATAATTACTCAAGAGGTTGTTAATAATCAAAAATAAGATAATGTATAGCTTAAATGAGACTGTAAGTTTCTTATCTTCAAAAGTAATTGAAACTATTATTTAGGGTTTTCAAAGATTTGAATGTGAAAACTGTAGAATTATAACAGTTGATGACATATTGTTGTTTTGGCCATACAGATGAAGATAGAGTTTCCAGGGATGTTCTGGTGTTATAAGTATTTCTGAATTCACTTATGACAGAAACAAAGCTACAAAAAATATGGTAGACGTGCCACATTTTCTTAATCCAGTCTGTCACTGATGGACATTTGGGTTGATTCCAAGTCTTTGCTATTGTGAATAGTGCCGCAATAAACATACGTGCGAACTGAACAATGAGATCACTTGGACTAGGGAAGGGGAACATCACACACCAGGGCCTATCATGGGGAAGGGGGGGGAGGGATTGCATTGGGAGTTATCCCTGATGTAAATGACAAGTTGATGGGTGCTGACAAGTTGATGGGTGCAGCACACCAACATGGCACAAGTATACATATGTAACAAACCTGCACATTATGCACATGTACCCTAGAACTTAAAGTATAATAATAATAATAATAATAAATATGGTAGACATCATCAGGAAGCCTGTTTTCCAAGCACAAGCACAACATTTATAGCTATTGAATAAAGACCGATATTTAAAATAAGCTAAAATTTAAATAAACAAGACAATGGTTGTTAACACCTACATCTATGCAGGAAAAGCTAAAATATCTACTTAAATTACACTGAAATAGATTTTCATTTTTGCACAAAAAGTTACTTATATTAATCTGGAATTCCTAAACACACATGCCCGCGCGCGCGTGCACGCACTCACACACACACACACACACACACACACAGAAACAACAACAGCAACAACAAAAATAGAAGCCCTTTAGAGTGTCTAAAGTATTAAAATATTTTTAAGCTGATATGTGCATGGGCAGTTTAAGAAACCTACATTGGATCTAAGCAAGTTTGAGTCTACACTCTATCTTGGATCTACAACTTCATTGCTGTGCTCCAAATAACAGTCAAAAATGGAATAAAATAACATAATATTAACAGTATGAAAGAAACTGACTTTCTGAGTTGTTTACCCCAAACTAAAATGATGGGGCTTGCAGGTTAGGTGGGTGAAGAAAAGGCCACAGTTACACAACACAGTACAGGTGGCACAATTTAGAGATTAAAATAGTCCTTAGAGTACTTAATCAGTTATTCTTGAATATGGACTCTGATTCAATTGATCTTTCTTGGTATTAAGGGACTAAATGAAAGATGGAATCACCTGCAAGAATATTTTGGGACAGAGACCTTTTTTTAGAAGAAGCAATGGTACTCAACTACCATGATAAGAGAAGAAAGGGGAGCTTATTGACCATTTCTGACTTTAGACATGAAAAATAAATGAACTAATTCTTTAAACACTTTCTAATCATCAGTCACTGCTGTGAGGTAGTCACTTCCTCTCCCAGAAGTAGAATATGTGGATTAGGACATTTATCTATCAGAAATATTAATGTTTATACTTCTAAGCAACAGAGACAGAAATGCTGCTACTAATTCAGGAACTCTAAATTATAATACTTAGTCATAAAGTATACATCCAATATCTAAAATTATATAATTTTAGCAATTTTGTTGATAAAATTTTAGCATTGCTCAGCATTCATGGTTAGTTAATAATTTTAAAAAGCAATTTGAAACATAAAAGATATAACACAGGCTTAGTATATTTTAAAAACAACCAAGTAAATGTTTTAAATTAGAATTGTTTCATGATTGCCAAATAAAAATTTTTCCCAAAACCACTGTTGTAAAATATTTCATCTAATTATGAGAGATGGTATAATGCGAAGTCCATACAAACTAATAAATCCTCAGAAAATTTCTACCCCATCTCTCACTCTGATCTTCTGGAGAGGAAGGGCAGGGGATTCTTCAGGGTTCATAATCACAATGTGGTTTGTCATAAGAAATCATATTTTATAATTTCACAGGAGAGTAGAAGAAGAGAGGCACATGGTGTGGTGAGGAAGAGGGTTATATTCACAATTAAAACTGTGAAATGCTAAACTCCATTATGAAGACAAATAGGAAAGTACAACTTCATTGTTGAAAACAATTTCCCTCCTATCAGTCCAAGGATTCATGCATCAATATTGTAGATGAACTGTTAATTACAAAATCAATTAAAAATTATTTCTAAAAACAGTCACGCGTCCCTGGCTCTCATGGGGGCAATTTGGGCAGAAGGTCTCATCTCACTAGGACCGCGCCAAATCACAAAGTCGTCATCCACAAGTAAGCAAAAGCAATCTGGTTTTTCATTTTTCAGCGCGGCTGAGCCCAGCCTGAGATTGATCGTCACATATGGCCCCAGAAAACAAACTGTCAATACCTTGAATGCTGCAGAATTTGAACAAATAGCCGTCTGCCCATTCAAGCCACTCATTGCATCCCATTTAACAGATTTTATTGACAGTTTCCTTCTTGTAATTAAAGGGAAAACTACTGGCCGGCAACCAAGATAAAGTTCAAAGATAGGGTCAAAACAAAAGCAGATGGAGGGGCACGGTGTGACTGTCAATGGTACATAGCATCAGAGCATGTTATTGACACACAGGTATCTAATGATCGGCATGTCATTAACGAGGGATCTATCCTGAACTTTATGCAAATGCTAAAAGAGACTTAAGACCATAATAAAGCATTAAGAGAGGCATAAAGGGAAAAACAACAAAGCACCAACGATTTTTACTTATTAGAAGTTGCTCTCTGTTTTAGCACGTTTCAGTTCAAATGTAAAGAACAGTTATTCCCATAATTCTTAACCCTTACTGCATAGACAGAATTTGACTTCTAAAGAACTCCAGAATGTAAGAAAACAGTGTTGTTTGATAACCAAAACTCAAAGCAACACTAAATACATTTTCCCAATTGCACAATTTGCATTTTTGAGGGAAAAATGGTTTGTGTGTTTCAACAATTCCCTCGTTTTAACTTATGCATAAAAGACAATGGAACTAATTTTGTCCCGGGAGTGTCCATTTATGCTATTCCTACAAGAGCTTTTGCTTTGCTGCAATCCAAATCAGTAAATGCATTAGTTGATAAAAGTTTCAAAGCATTCAATAAGCAAGTCAAATGAAATTAATTCCCTTTAAGTATATTTTTCTTATTTCTAACTTTTCACTAGAAAGCTATACTGATTATAATTTTGCTGACTCATACAAAACTTACAAACTAGGTCTTGCAAATCCCTAAAGAAGTTTAGGAAAGTGGTAAAACTGACATATTAAAAAATGTAACAATGACTATGTCAGTATGCCAACCTGAATTAGCAAGAGCTATAGCTTTGAGGGTGACAAATTCTTCTTTCTCCAGCTTCATGCTCTTGTATTTCTTTACCAGCTGCAGGATAGCATTATTTAGATCAAGAAGGCCTGCTAATTTGGACTGGTCTTCGTCCATTATATAATCGTCTGCATAGACAAGTTCGTCCTCAAACGAAAGAGACCGGTATACGACACCAAGGATCAAAATTTCCATCCAAGCACTCTGCAGAAGGCTCATCTGGTCCGCCAGGGACAGCGTGGAGAAGCCTGCATGGAAAGATGGGCAGATCAAGTTACTTTAAAGCCATAATTTCATAATGCAACATTAGTTTCATATGGTAGCTGGCTTCTGCATCAGTGCTCAAAATTATGCTGAGCTTTGATTAGAAGCTCTTAAAATTTCCCCTGGATCACTTTGCGAACAGCAAAGTGAAAGTTACAAACCAGCTTCTTCAATTTGTGGGTATTTTCTATAAGTTTTATAGACACAGCTTAGGGGAATATTATAGAGATGTTGTTTTCTTTCATTCAAGAAGAAAATACCATGTAATCTTTAAATATACTTGATTTCTGGTTGAAGTCTTTAGGAACCTCTTATAAGAAGTCAGATTTTCAACTATTTGATCTCTAAAAACTACTATTGGAAAACAATATAAAAGTAAAAAAAAAAAAAAAAAGAAGAAGAAGAAGAAGAAGAAGAAGAAGGAGAAGGAGAGAAGGAGAAGCAGCAGCTAAAAATAAAAGGTAAACAAACAATTTAGGCCATAGCACAACTTGGAAACATTTCTGTATAATATTAATAGTTACAAGCACAATGGATGATGAGTTACAACTAGGTGAGCCTTCTTAATTGGCTATTTCCCCTCACTGATACTTAACATGAATTTCTTTTAAAATTAGTGATAATTGGTATAAAAGAAAGTGGAATACTTAGCAGCCTGGCCTCTTCACCAAATAGAAAAGTCCCATTCACTATTGTTATTAAGATCCAATTATTTAAAAAGTTAAATATAAATAAAGGTAACAGGGTTTGGTGTAAAGGAGTCAGATTCTGAATGTAAATACTGGCTCCACTCAGCTACTGGCTCTTTCACCTTGAGCAAGAGAAACTAACTTGTATCTTAAATTTTGTATTTGAGAAATATAAAATATCACCTACCTAAACATTAGGTTATAATCTGCAATTCAGTACGTGTTGCTGTATGATTAATATATGTTATTTTTATCTGAATTACCTATGTGATCAATTCTTTTCTGCAAATCTGGGATGCATTCATACATGCATATTTAAAGTCCCTCTGAGCTTGAGAAAATATATGCAAAAAAATTAAAAAGAAAATGCTGTTCAATAGAGAAAGAGGAAGCAGTACAATTAAGCCTACTTAGGAGTGAAGATATATATTTATATATCAGAGGAACTAGATCTGTATTCTAAAGTGAAGATACTTGATGATCAGAAGCTTTTCCCAAGTCCTAAAAAAGAAATGTTTCTTAAAACTTCACTTTTATTTCCAAGTGTCTGCCTAAGACTTCTAAGGGTAACCACCCACCTCATGGCTTCTGAGGACAGTGGTACCATCATTTAAGGTCCTGCCACCAGTAATTCTACAGAAAGGAAGGGCCGTTTTTAATAATGCAACTTAAGAAATCTATTTTTACTCCCTTTCTAGACATTATTATCCAAATCATAAATAGCCACTGGTGACCAACCTTTTTAGGCTACTGCTTATGGTCACTGTTGCTGTCCTTTTCATTCATATCAAATTGTGCATATCCCATATGATATTAGAAACTACAGCACAGTAAAGAAAAGGAAATGATTTCCTGACCTATTGGTGAAAAATAGTGGTTTGCCATTTGGTACCATTAATTATAAGTGCTTAATAAAATCATCAGAAGGGATGAGTCAAGCTTTTCTTAAGGGAGTCTTTAAGGTATATATAAAAATGCATTTCTTTCATTGTTTATCACGGTGCTTACATGTTATTTGGCAGGATTTATTTTGGACTGGCTGTGTAAGTCTTTTTCTTATTCTGTTTTTGTCATTGCGTTTGGGGTTAAATTAATAAATATCCTCTTAGAGATATAAAAGCTGATAACATTTTAAACAGCGATTCAACAGAGAAAACTAATTATTTAACCTAAATAGGTTAGGCTCCAGATGCTTTTAATTTCAGCAATGTTATATTCACAACAAACAAACAGAAAACCACATTGCTCTTTTTTCTATCCCCCTCCAAGGAAAAAAGGTGCAATGCAAATCCAAATATCGACCTCAAGAAAACATACTAAGTAAAAATTTCTTGTGTAAATTAAAAGACAAAAAACATCATCTGGAAAGTTATGAGCAAAAATGAATGGGTCTTTTCAATTTGCCTTAGTTTTCTTATTCCTTTTCATGCTCCCAAGCCGCAGTTTTTCTGCAGCAGCAGATGGACAGAGCGTGTAGCCCGCAGCACCTTCCTGTGACAGCCCTATTCTCCCTCCCAGACACTGCTGTTAGTAAATAGATTTACACATTCTCCAATCTCCACACATCTTTCTGCCGAATAATTAAAAGCAGGATGATTAGTTTATTGAGTGGAAGGAGGAACTTTTTTATTGAGGTCCATCCATGATTTTATCAGGGCCAGCACTTTTACGGTTGTCAGGGGGGTGCAGGCATCCAATTTTTCTTATCTGCCTGATTAATACAAACGCTGTTTCAGGACGCATTAATTAACAGATACAAATCTACGTTCTCATGGAAGGATCAATACGGAGAAGAAAAGAGGCATCAATGTGAATTTAGTGCTGATGATGGAGAAGGCACGCTATCGACATTTACGTGCATGGAAACTTTAAAGTTGCACCGGGCCCCCTTTGTCCCTGTGATTTACAATTAACAATGTTCCAGCCATAACATTTCACACATTTCTTTGGGGTTTAATTAACCAAAAAACAATAAAATTTCATTTTTAAAGTTGATCCTGCAATTTATTTCTTCTATATTGATGGTTGTGTGTGCGTACGTGTGTGCATGTGTGTGTGTGTATCTTTCCTGCAACCCTAACTTTTTCCTTTTGCTTCTCTATGAAATAAAGAGAAGGAAAAAAGGGGAAGAAAAAGCTCTCCTTTTTTGGTCAGGGAGCATGAGGAGATGGATATGGCACAAAAGGTTTGACATGCTTGCTTGATTGATATCCTTAAGTATATTTCAGCTGATTAAAGGAAGTATAATTTTTGCAAATCCAAAGGAAAAAGGACAATCTATGCTTACAAAATAAAATAAAAGTCTGAATGTCTATCTTTTTTTGGTCTAGAAATTGCTGGCTCTCATTTTAACCCTTTCCTACCACACCACTGCAGTCTGGAAACTAGTACAAAGAGCTCTCCTGCTCAAATGCCTGAGCAGCAGTTAGACAGCCTTGTTACGAGTTAGTCACGTTCATCTGGTCACTAAGGAGGCCAAATACATAATAGAAATTTTATCTTAATTACATAAAATTATTTTGCCTTTTCTTTAGGAGTATTAGCTATGTTGCACATACATAAAAATGCATGGATAAAATAACATTTTTATCAGTAGACCTGAGCAATGTCTAAAATTCTAAATAACCGAGGCCTAAATGAAAATGCATGTTTTAATAAGCTGAGTAGGAGGAATTTTCTTAAAACATAATTGCTCTATTGGCTTACACATGCTTGTATCCAAAAGATAATTACTTGTTTGTGTTTTTACCAGGCATTGAACAGTATTTTATAGCTCTTGGGCTATGAGTTAGAGGTCTTCATCATCTGTAATATTTAGCTATCTTTGGAGAGAAACCTCTTTCCCAAGTGAAATAAAATATGCTTCGTAGTTGTGTCGTTTGAACTTCATGTTTTGTACATCCTGGGACCTTAATCTTTGGTGTGTGACAGGTTATAGTTTTAAATGTTCAGCCGTATTACAGCTTTTTAAAATACACCGATACCATGGCACATTTTTTCTTCCCCAGCTACAGCCCATTCCGTGCATATCACTGACAACTCGGATCTCTCTTCATCTCTGTCCTAGAGCCAGTGCCATTTAATGTATCTCAGGCATTTTGCTTGCAGAATGACTCTCTACCTTGACCCGCAGTTAAATAGCATGTTTATCTGCAATACAGTGTGCTCCAAATAAACCAGATGACAGTTGGGAATAACATCATTTGGAAGGATTGAAAAGCTTCTCAAGAGGCAGGTACCCCTGAGGTAATAGGCTTGAAGAAAGCATGTTTTGTGCCAACCGTCTTGCCTTCTTCTACTGGAAACTTCGGAGGTTGACAGTGGTGCCATGGGCACTCGTCAAGCACTTTTTTTTTTTTTTTTTTTTTTTTTTTTAGCCTGGCAAACTGATGCACTTTGCAGTCAACTTACAAAAAAGGCTAAGCGTTTGAAAGTGTGAAGGGCAAAAAATATCTGACGGCTAGTCTTCAAAAATACACTTTCATTTCAGAAAGCATAAATGTTTATTTCCCGAACAGAGTGTTGACAGAAATAGGCTGCAACGCAGGCATTTGGGTTTAACCCCTGCTAGGCATTTTCTTCTCGGCTGCTTTCTTGAAATAGAGAGCAAGCATTTTAAATCTTCAGGGCATCCGTTAATATCAGTTAATCGTGGCATTGATTTGACTGATCACAGTTTTTGAACTGTAGTTTTCCTGTTCCACACACAAAAAAAACTCAACATTTTTCAACAAATAGCATATCATACTAGAACTATAATTATGCCATAATGACTCAGTGAGATCACAAATGAAGTTCATTTTGAGAAGCTGATTGAGCAACGCAACGTAAGCTAGATTCTTTTCTTTCCCGTACAAATAAACCTAATGTTTACAGGACCCAGAGCATAAAAGAATAACAGTGGCACTAACATTTGGTCTTGGCTACCAATAGACACACAGATGCATAAACCTTGTTAGAGATGAACTTATTTTGTATTTTTAAGCCAGATGTTCTTTTCACATATGGGGCAGACATATCACTTTGTCCTATGATTCACAAAACACACAGCTCAGGGGCTTGTAGGAAACTTTATATATATATATATATATGTAAGTCATATATATATAGCCCCTTGCAGGAGACTTTATATATATATGCACACAGATTTTTTTTCATGAACTGGAACTCAGTAGGAGCTAGAGTTTAAACATCTACAGATGGTTAACTGCAGAAGTGAAAGCTGGAACATCTACATGGTGCTATCAGAAGCATCTTATTTAAAATTTATTTAAAATTTTTATTTAAAAGGGATG